TTGCCCCCCGCGTCGGCGGGCGGACCCCCACCCCCGGCCCCACCAGGGAAGCCCCCCCCCCCCACCTCACGCCTTTTAACCAAGAGCCAGGCCCTCACCCGGCATTTAGCACCCAGGAGCACCCAGTAGGTATTTGTTGAGTGAATCAGTGAATGACTGAGCAGAGGCTGGAGTGTGAAATCAGGCTTTTTGTCTGTTGAAGATGGAAGAGGCTTACGCGTGTTCACAGGTTGATGGAAGGGGGTCTCTGCAAGAACGTGGTTCACTGTTGTACACGGGGAGAAAAGCCAGCCGTGTCAGTTCCCTGGGACGTCAGAGGGCTTGGCCTCTAAAAGCAGGGCGGACACGTTGGCCTTTGCCCCTGTGCGGTGGTCCGGGGCCAGGAAGGGAGGGTGAGTGTTCCCAAGGTGAGCTTGGTGTTTGGCAACAGCAAGCAGTGCAGGGCATCCCCACGGGGCTTCCATGTTCCGTGGGAAATAGAGGAAGTGTGTCTGCTGACTGGGGAGGTGCCAGGGCAGGAATTGGAGGGTTGAAATGGAGGTGGATTGGCAGGGTCAGTGGGTGACAGTGAGAAGGCAGGTCAACTTAAACATCAGTGCACTTGGGATGCCTGGCAGGCAGTGCCCAGGGCCCCGTGAAGTTGGCGATGACCTGGTTAGGATGCCATGTCCAACCATGTGACTCCACCCAGAGGAAGAGGAAGGAGAGCTTGAGTCATGCCAGGGTTTTGCTGGTGGATAGAGCAGAAAGGGAACTTGTGCTTTTGTATTGAAGTAAAGGAGGGGATAAAGGGGCCCGAGAGGCTGCGAAGCGTCCAGGCAGGAGCCCTTGAATCAGTGCCCTGGGGAGGATGTCACAGCTGGAGAGCAGTGTGGCCTGGACTTGGAGTGATTTTGGGGAGTGCGAGTCCCTGGGTCTTTGAGTGGAGGGGAGAGCAGAGGCTGTCGGAGAGGAGAGAGTGAGGAACAGAAAGGCTGGGCTGTCCACGTTTATGTAGAAAGCCCCTGAGACTCTGCTAGGGTCTGGGGCAGGACCTGTGGTCTGGGCTGCTGAGTGAGAGAGGATGCCTGGGAGAGCGGTGGGTGACGGCGATGAGCAGCCTCTGAGTAGGGGAGGGGACCCCTGGGGAGGTGGGTCAGGACCGCACGGAGGGGCCGTGGGCGCCTGCCTCTGTGCTTGCTGTCCGCTCGTCTTTATCTCATCGTCCACCACTGTCTCTGGAGGAGCCGTTCTAGGAATTCCATGTGTGCGGTGGTTCCATTTATTCGAGCGGTGGTGGCCCGGGAGCCAGGCCCAGGTGCCTGCGCTGCTCCCTCGTGATGGTGTCCTTCTCCCGGCTTCTCCACCCTCTAGGAAGGCAGCTCGTGTCTGTGCCATGGGTTCATTCATTCACCTGTAATGTTGGTGCGGCGGCGAAGACGTTTTCCTCCATTGTTTCCAACTTTTTGTTTTTAATAAGTTCTGGTTCCAGGTGAGGTTGATTTATTGCAGCTGGAAGAGGGCACCGGCGAATGGGAGAGTCGCTCCTGCTCTCACGAGGTTTATTCTTGGCTTCCTCTTCCTTTGATAACAAATAAGTAAAATAACTGGTGGCCACTTCAATGTGTATTTCTTTGCTAAGACTAAATTTACAAGATCAAAGTAGTTGCTTGTTTTGGTGGGCTCCTTACTGATCCCGTTGGACAAGCACGTCACACCTACAAGCTCATGCTAACGCGGGTCTGCGGGTTCAGGGCTCCCTCTGTCTCCCTCATGGACAGGGCAGTGCCTGGTTTTCCTGCACAGTGGGCACTGTATCATTTTCCCAATTGGGAGTTAGGGAACCTGTGATTTGTTTCTGTATCCTGGGCAATCTGAAGGGCTTGGGACAGGTCATTTGCTTGTGGATCAAATATTCCAAATTTACAAATGGAAAGAATTTGTTACATGTTTCGATTTAAAGATCACTTGGCTGATGGTAATGAGAGGAAAAATATCTACTATTTATACAAATGACTCAGCTTTAATACTGAGTTGAACTTAAGAACAATGGGGTGATTGAAACCTGTAAAAGGAAGTAAAAGCAGATGCTTCTTCCACTCTCATTAAGTCCTCACACCATCATGTATTCGCACTGACCACTTAGAAACCCTGCTTACTTAGGAGACCGTTTCTACTTTCTGGCAAACCAGTAGATTCCCTGTGCGATATGCAGTCTTCAGGGTTTATTCTGTTCTATGTGCATTCTACCTGATCAGATAAAAATGAAATTTAGATGTTTTTATAGGCAGGTTCATTCTTTGTTTAAAATACAGTGATCAGTTTTAGTATAAACAGATGACATTGCTGGAAACAAGAATGTCTGTGGATTAAAGCAGATTTTAAAAAATACTTAAAATGTCAAAAGTGATGGATGTTACATTGACAGAATCTTTAGTTGTTTTTATCTACTTTTCATGCTACATAAGGATTCACAGATCAATCTATTGAGGTAAGGAATTTTGAGCTTTTGCATATAAAACTTTGTATTTTTGCATCATTATTCTTGAAAATACATTATAAGCGTGTGGTCTTTTAAGTATATGATAATGCAAGTTAATAATAATTTTGGAATATAAATCCTTATTGTATATTTCTAGTTTCTTGAAACATCTGTTGTTGATACTTTTTCAGCCTTGTTGGGAAAATGAGTTTTAATGGTGTATTTAGTAATGTAAATGTGTACTTACCATTTGCAACAATGTAGATGGACCTAGAGAGTATTAAGCTTAATGAAGAGAAAGACAAATACTGTATGTAATTGCTTATATGTGGAATCTAAAAAATAAAACAAATGTGTATAACAGAACCGAAGCAGACTCACAGGTATAGAGGACAAACTAGTGGTTACCAGTGGGGAGAGAAGGGGGAGGTGCAAGCTAGCAGGAGGGGATTAAGAGATACAAACTGGTGTGTATAAAATAGCTAAGCAGCTGAGACGTATTGTACAGCACAGGGAAATATCCCCGTTATTTTGTAGTAACCTTAAAGGGAATATAATTTATAAAAATATTGGATCACTGTGCTGTACAGCTGAGACTAATGTAATATTTAAATAATATAATAATACGATCAGTACTTCAGTTACACTGTACTCTTCAGTGCAAGGAAATGTGCTTAATCGTTACTGTGGGGCCGCATCGTCGCGTGACGTGTGTGGAGTGCGGCCCCGTATAATCTGGTTGGAGTCCGCGTGACATGCGGGGATGTTGTCCCCCTGCAGTTAATTCACGCGCGTTCCAAAGTGCGTTTCTAATAACGATTGTGAGGACGCCAGGGCTTCCGTGACTTGTAGCTGAGGTTGTCAGATGTGTCCCGCGGTAGATGCTGCAGGGGCTCCCCAGGTCCCAGTCACTGGGCGGATGTGCTCGCCGCCCTGCAGCTCACAGCTGTCCTCTTGTGCTCACGCTGTAGCTCCTGCAGCAGCCTGGGCCCTCCGCCCTCTGCCTGCAGCCAGCCACCAGCTGCTGGGAGGAGGTTTCTGGAAGGGTGGCCTGGCCTCAAGCTGCACAGACAGTGAGGTATGGTGTTCACTGAGCTCCAGCTGCAAGCAGGGCCTCACTCGTCCCTCCCCTTCTCTGTCCAGCTTCCCTCCCTTGCCTGAGGGCTCCCCCCGCCGCCGCCCCCAGAGAGGTTCCGGCAGGACAGTCCCCGTGTCAGGCTCTGCGTGTCGGGACTTTGCCCAGATGCCCTCGGACATAGAGATGTTGAGAGAAGGTGTGTGTCCATGAGTCCACCTCAACACCTGTCAACATTTTGCCCGTCTTGTTTCATCTTTCCCCTACTTTTCAATCAATGAGTATTTTATAAGGTATCTCATAGCTTATGTCATTTCATCCACATCAGTGCTTCTCCTGTCCCTAACAGGTGAGAGCTTTCTAAAACTGTATAACACAATAATCCTGTTATCTCACCTGGCAAAGTTAACAGTGACTCCTCAGGACCGTCTCATTCCCAGACCTGTTGATATTCCCCTTTTCAGCCATGGAATCGTAATATTCTTAACACTACAATGTGCAAAGTAAAACAGATTCATTGTCTATGTTAACATGAAGCTTTGCCTTAATGTAGTATAGAGCATCAGGTCGGCAAGTGGTGATTTAAAAACACGTTCTAATTCCCCTTCTTTCCTCAGGTCCTGGACGCCTCGTCCCTCAGTTTCAACACCAGGCTGAAGTGGTTTGCCATATGCTTCGCCAGTGGTGTCGTCTTCTCTATTCTTGTGCGTTAAGGCTCTACGTTGCTTCATAATTTCTATTTTGTGTGAGACTGATCATTCCATTTAGTCCCAACAAGCAGTCCACTTTATCTGGACTGTTCTGATGGGACATATTTAGTCCCCTGAAATAAAGGGGTGGAGATCAATAAAAAGATGCAGAGATTAATATTTTGGGGGGTTTATGGATTGTTAAAATAATTTCATTTAAGAAAGATCAGTGTGTATTAGGAGAGTTGCAGTCAGTGATTTAGATGTGATTTAGATTTTTGACTTGCCATTTATAAAAAGAATACTTAAGTAGAGTGAGATTTACTCAGATGTATAAAGAAAGTTATGTAATGGCTCATTTATATATACTTATATGCAAATAGGCAGAAGATTCAAATTAGCAAATAACATTGAAAATTAACTACTTTTTTAAAAACTATATAATTAGAGACTATATATTAACACATTTATACATGTATACATTTATACATAAACTTTATAATGTTATATATATATTCTATTATTACTATTCTATCATTACTATAGTAGCACATTTATATTTTAATCTATTACAGTGGTAAAATTACTTTTACTAACTGTGATGTCTTAACTCAGGGAATTGGATTGCTGTGGCTTCCTGGTGGCATAAAGCTTTTTGCAGTGTTTTATACCCTTGGAAATATTGCTGCCTTAGTCAGGTATGTACAGAAGTTTGGCTTCTCAAAAATATTTCATTTGCTATCATTATCAAAATTTTCTTTTCTAATAGGATATATTTCTGTAGATCTGTACATACTGTGAATTCAAAATTTACATTCATTCAGTAGATCCTTAGACTCCTGCTGTGTGCCAGCTGCCATAATAGAGTGTTCATGGTGAGAATAGCCAGCATTTGGAGGTACTTACTGTGTGCCAGGCACTATCCTAAGTGTTCTGTGTCTGTCACCCCATTTGTGAGGTGGGCACTGTTATCACCCCATCTTATAGCAGGGTGTAGTAGCACGGGGTGGGGGGGGTCACTCCCCGGGGAGGTACCTAGTGAGGTGACCAGGCCTGGTTCCTGGTCACCTCCGGAGAGTCCTCTGGAGCCCCGGCTTGTCGCTGCCTCGGCAAGGGCACCGTCAGATGCCCAGCCGACCAGCGGCCAAAGCAGATTGGGGGTGGCAGTGCCGTGCCCAGGAGTTGGACAGGGCCACACAGTGGCAGTGACTCCGAGGACTGTGCACTGGGCGTTCGGGGAATCCTCCCTGGGGGCCTCGGGTGCATCTCTGGGGGAGTTGATGTCTGTTACCGTAGTTGTCACATTTACGAGCTCTCAGCTTTCAGAGGTGAGCTCCTGCCTCTTCAGGGATGTTCTGCATCAGAGGTGCTGCCCAGTGGAGGGGCGTGAGCCGCGGCCAAGCTTGGTCTGCTCTCCTGGGCTCGCCTCAATGCCCCTCCTCAGACCGCAGCCTGGAAGAGGCCTGAGGGCGCAGTTGCACACTTTTGCCCTTAGAAGCTTTACGCCGACAGTGCTTGTGGGGCTGTTTTCCCTGTTATGACGGGGAACGTGCGTAGAGGTGAGGAAGCAGTGGCTGAATTGGCAGCAATGGAGAGCAGGCTGCCTTGTCAGCCTGAGGCTGGCGCTGTGAGTGATTTGTGAGAGGCGTTCCTGTGTCACAGAAGACAGAAGGATTAACGCTTCCTTCTAACGTTAAGGAGAAATGCAACAGACTTAGTGAGATTTTCTAATTAAAATAATATAGGATTTCTTTTCTTAAAAGTACTTATTTTTACACAGCTGGACAAGTTAATAGCTCCCTCTCTCATTTCTTTTATTCGTTTCAAATAGTACATGCTTTTTAATGGGACCCGTGAAACAACTGAAGAAAATGTTTGAAACAACGAGATTGCTTGCAACGATTGTTATGCTTGTAAGTAAATAATGATACTTTTAAAAAACATTTTTCGAGTTTTTTTTTCTTTTTGCATTACTTGGTGAGGTACTAATGTTATAATTCTCTTGTTGAATATGACAGTCACATTCTTTAGGCGGTGTGTTTAAAGAGTTTGGATTATGTAGCATTACCTGAAATGACTGGCTGGGTGAATCCTGTTTTCTTTTGTGTATATTCTAACAGTAGCTCTGTGTATTGCACGTGAAAATGAGAGCTGCGTGTATTTCATTTTCAGGCCCCATGGAGCACCTTAATGGACCCCTGTGTGTACTTTCTGGAGGGTGGGCCTGGAAGACGGGTCAATTCTGGGTCCATATGAGGCTTCTCAGGGAGAGTTGGCTTAATTTTGGTGGCCTGTCACCTGGCCTTTGTCGCTCCCCCGTTGGACTGCACAAATACCTAGGCCTCCGTCTCCATGCCTGCTCCACTGCTTTCCCTGCCTCTCCTCATCTCTCCCCTGCCTCCTCTGGGGGACATGGCTGTGGAATAACAGTGCAGTCTTTCTGTGTGCAATCATTATAACAGGTTCCTATGTAAAGCTAAGTAAAACAGAACTTACTGTACGGGAGCGGTCGTACTGAGTCCTGTGGTGGCGGCTTGAATTAGTAAACGTTAGCGCAAGCATTCATAAATCCATAACAACAGCTGCTGTCACTCATTCATTCTTGAAACAGTCTCTCTGTTGGCTTAGTCAACAGGTGATTTATTATGTGCTTTCAGTTTGCCAAGGAATATTGCAGCAGTCACAGACTTTAGAATAATACTCAGGGAATACATAAGGGTGCTAGAGTGAGCGTCTCATGGATTTGGTTCTCTAGTGTGTTATCGTGCAAATGAATGCAGAATAGTGTATGCAGTTTTGTTAAGCTTTGGAAAAGGCTCAAATTGACAATTTTTCTTTCCTTTCCTGTAGTTGTGTTTCATACTTACCCTGTGCGCTGCTCTTTGGGTAAGTTACCTCAACCATATCTGTTTTCTACTAACTGTGTGGCCCCTCACCAGGTAGAGTGTCATCGCACCATCATCTCCAAGGAGCTCAAAGTCTGGTTTCTTAAAACCCACCAAAGACTGGGTGTCCCTAAAACCTAGTTAGTGGCTAGGCTTGCAGTGGATTCTGCCATCTAAAACAGACAGAAGTGAGATCGTGCTTGCTTCCAGGTCAGACTGGCCCCTCTCTCAGGCCCGGGGCCGTGAGAGGCCCTCGCTGAGGGTCTGCGTGCTCTTTCTGCTGTGCTGATAGCCTCACTGTGCTGTGGCTCTAGGGTGGGGAGTGCATTGTGAGCATCAGGGTGTCCACACAGTGAGGAGAAAGGGCCGGAAAACAAACCCAAACAAATTAACACAGAGGGACAAAAGGACTTAAATTATTCTTGCACCACTTACGGATGAGGTGAACGTCTCCTCATTAGCCTTCAGAGAAGTTACTTTATTACAATTCAGTTTACTCGTTGATGCTCCTGATTCTTCATTACATTTGCTTATTGTTCCTTATCTACCTCCAAAGGGCCCTGAGGAGGTTCTTGAGCTCCCAAGAACACAGCGCACTTTAAAGAAGATGGGGTGGCATACGACACACTGCAGAAACGTTCATCAAAAATGTTCTGCTTTTAATTTTGATGATTTAAGGACCGGACTTTAGTTATGCAAGAATGCACTTAATACCTCATTTCCCAGTGATAACTTAAAAGAATTTTCGTAAACAATCTTCGCATTTCCCTATGGAAAATTGATTTCTGGTTTGGAAAGGTCCAGCAGTCTATTTATAAGCAGTAGATTAAAAATAAGTGTAAAAGTAAATAAATAAAAATTTAAAATAAAGGTGGACAAGAAATTCTAAAAATAGATCATTTTAAAACAACTGTGGAAACTTCATCTAACCTTATTCCAGAAGATCACAATAAAATACAGTTTTAGTTCAAAAAGTAACTCAAGAAAATGAACAAGTGTGAATGAGAAGATACATAAATTCCACATAGGATACAGATCCAATAACCAAGTGGGTATTTTAGAAAGGTTAACCTTGACTTAAAGGACCTAACATGAGAGAGATTTAATATTTCCAGCCTGTGCACATTTATTTCATTAATGTTTAATGCCATATACTTAGCAGCATTTGAATAAATGGAATCAGAGAATTCTAGAAAGAAGATACAATTTATGGATATGTAATTCTCAGATCTCCTGAATCTTAAATTTGTCATACTAGGATTTAATGAAATGAGTTGGAGCTATCGTTTATATTTTTGAAGGGGAGGAACTGAACTTGCTTGTGAAAAATATTTAAAAAAAAAAATGTTTAACTCATTATTTCTTTGTCTTTGCTGTTGTCAGTGGCATAAGAAGGGGCTGGCCTTATTATTCTGCATATTGCAGTTCTTGTCTATGACCTGGTAAGTCTTACACTAAATAGAAAGTTAAAATTTCCTAAGCAGTGCCATGCGTTTTGTTCTGAGCCTGTAAGCCTAGGAAGGTCATTGGCATTTTACCAGGTCAGGTAAGCCTGTGCCTTGGAGGGGAAGGGCCTCCTGAGAGGTCAGGTGCCTGAGGTCTGCAGTGTGTCCTGGGGGGCCTAAATGTGGGAAGGCTGAGGAGAGTTGGGGGCTCTGCTTGCCCAGGCACACAGGGCTGCGTTCACTTCTTCTGTAATGTGTGAAAGAGAAATGCTGGGAAATGCAGGTGGTGCCACACGAACCCTGAAGTCCAGGCCGAGTCACAGGATCAGCCCGAGGGCACGGCGGGGAACCACTCACTTTGCCTGGTATTGCTGAGCACCTGCCGAATGAGTTAGTTCTGGTGCTGACTCCTCAGCGAGGCTGCTCTGCCCTTGCCTCTCCCTGAGGCGTCCTCCCCTCCGAGTGTTCAGTCACGCCGTCCTTCCTGATCGCTCCCTCCCCAGGCCACGTTCAGGTCCTGGGCTGAGGGCCCAGCAAATACGTGATTGAGTTGAATGTGCCCACCTTGCACGTTCCCGCGTCAGACCAGAAAGGTGTTCTTCACGTACAAAATATTTCTACGAGTGTTTTACTTTTTCTTTAGAGCTCAGTCTTGTTTGCTTCCTTGCAATCGTCAATAAACCCCTTCCTGACTTTGCTGTTTTAAATTTCTCCTTTTTGATATCACCCAATCTGAAATCAGTGGGTTTTTTTTTTTTTTTTTTTTTTTTTTTTTGCGGTACGCAGGCCTCTCACTGTTGTGGCCTCTCCTGTTGCGGGGCGCAGGCCCAGCGGCCATGGCTCACGGTCCCAGCCGCTCCGCGGCATGTGGGATCTTCCCGGACCGGGGCACGAACCTGTGTCCCCTGCATTGGCAGGCGGGCTCTCAACCACTGCGCCACCAGGGAAGCCCCAGTCTTTGTTTTGATGCTGTTTCTACCTTTCCACTGATGGAATGTCAACAGATGTTAAATGCAATTCTCTACGTGTTACAAAAGAACCTTATGATGTTGTTTGACTCTTTTTCAGTGAAATGTGGAAAAATTTAAATCTGTGTTATTTTCTGTTAATATGTTGCTTTTTATTGTTAATCTGTACTTAATGATTGCTTTATCCCTGAAGGAGGGTGCAGTTTATTCTGTTATTTTATAGTTTTTATTTTTAAAAAATAACTTGAAAGGGGTAATACAACAGGCTTTTTATTACAGCAGGCTTCAGCAGGCATCAGAATCAGAGTTTGTTAAAAGCACGTTGCTTACTGAGATGCAGTTTCTCATTCAGGAGGTGTGTGTGGGGGGCAGGAATCTGCGTTTTTAACAAGTTCCCCGGCGATGCTGTATGCCGTCAGGGGTCATACTTCGAGAATCACTGTGCAGTAGTCTACTGCTTCATGTTTTATGGTGTTAGAATATGGCCATTTGGCAAAAAGGAAAACATTTAGTTTCAACGTTCTTGAATTTTTCTTGCAGGTATAGTCTGTCATACATCCCGTATGCAAGGTGAGCTTGTTTCAATTGTCTTGTTTCTGCTCCTCTAATTCTCTTTACACAGATACGTGAATTTTAGTAATTTTCATATGAAAATGTGATTTAAAAGGCTGTTTTTGGTTGACTTTGACTTTTTTCCCAGAAGGAAATTATTTTTTAAATGAGTGGAATAGAAGCTTTGCCATATCAAGTAAAAAACATGTTGAACAGATGTAACAGGTAGGCTGGGAACGTACTTCTGATTTACCACCTGAACATTTGCAGTTAGTGAATTTTGGCAAGAGATTCTAGATCCTTCCGCTACTGCAAGTATTCAGTAAATAGGATATGGAGACTTCAGCAAAAATAAATTCTACTTAAAAAAAAGGAAGTTAATGAAAAAATGAATCTGATATAGAAATGTTTGTTTTAAGCCAGTAGAAACATATTTATTCTGTATGTCAAGAGGTATTTGCCCTTTGTATGTCAAGAGGTAATTGCTGTTTTCTTGTATCTTTTCAGAGAAGTGTACTAATTTAATTATGGAGGAAAAAACAAATACTTAATTGCAGTCTTAAATCTGACTGATTTGGAGGAATATTCTTTTGAGGCACAGCTTTGTTTCTTTGTGAAATTTGGAAACATAGGTTGCGTATGAAAAACAGCAGAATTGTATGCCTGATATGAACAGTGAAGGAAATTGATAGAAATTCTATTTTTATTCAGTTTCAAATGGATGATTCTTTTTGATGAACACTTAAAAGGAGAAAAAGCAAAGCAGGGTCAACTAAAGGAGAGCAGGCTTAGAACAGGAGCACAGAGGTAACTTGCCAGTCTCAGGACCTTAGCTGGGAGAGCTCTTGCTCTTTCTCAACGAGGGGAAAAGGTGCCCCAAAATGATGTCCACTGCAGTAGAGCTGGAGCTCACAGCCAGGGCAGGGCATCTGGGCAGTGACCACCCTCCCCAGAAGTGTCAGACCCTGCCCTTGAGAGCAGCATACAGTCTGTCCGTACATCTCCAGTCTGTTGGTGCTCGCCTTAACAGTCCGTATTCATATAACAACAGTTCAAACTAATTGTTGTGAAGAGAAATGTGAAAGGCGAATGAGGTTTTTCACATGAATTTTTTTGGAATTCTTAGGGACACAGTTATAAACGTTCTGCTTTTTAAAATCCAGTTCATTGCTTCTTTTTAAAAATACTTTTGTTGTTTTGGGTATTTACATTTATTTCTTCATAATAAAATTAGCATATGTGTTGTTTAAGATTTCGAAATAAATACCATTTTAGCAACTAACAAATTATTTCCATGTCTCAATTCTTGATTTCAAGTGATATTCAACAAAGTTTTAATTATGGAAAGGTACTGGAGATTCCGCTGAGTTCTGATGGGAAAAGGTGATCGTGTGTTTGTCTCTTGGCAGGAATCTTTTTGCAAGTTCACTCTGGAGGCAGGTTATTATATTGTTTTTCCTCTTTTGTTTTTTCACCAGGGATGCGGTAATTAAATGCTGTTCTTCTTTGCCGAGTTAAAAATCAGAAACTCTTTGAAAAGACCATTTGAAAGCTGATGTTCTGTGTTGGGTGCAGTATCCTTTTCCTGCTACAGTAATCACTCCAGAAACAACTGCACTCACCATCTAAGACCATTTTGTATACTGATAAAAACTACATGCTAATTACACTGTTAAATGCTTGTGATGTTAAATTCATTTTGTGTCATTAAGATGCTCTTCCAGAGATAAGGAGATTTTAATCATTGCCACTTGTAAATGATTTTTAGCCAGTTTTTAAATCTTTTCTAAACAGCGTCTGAGATGTGTATATTTAAGGGTAAACCTATGCTGCAAGATATATTCAGCTTTTTTGGCGGTTTTAAAATGTCTACATTTTAAAAATATCTTTTTAAAATAAAAACTTTAAATGTGAAAATTTTTATAAGCTAAAAATTGCTAATTATATGTAATAAAAATAATATATAAATCTTTATAATTTTGAAATAAACCCACACTTGGGAAAAACATTTTCTTGATCAAATTTATGTTTTAAGTGGGTGGTACATTGATTCAGTTGAATAAAATTTAGTTTGGGCACTTATGCAATCTTTCTGTAGAAAAACGAGTAAGATACAATCTCTGTCCTAATAATGGGGCTGAGCACAAATCTGTGAAGGATGAGAGGGCCGAGTAACAGTGAAAGCATTTATTCATCAGTGTGCTGTTCAGGGTGCGAGCCTGAACACAGAGCCGGCCATGACGGCCGCCGGAGGAGGCGGGCAGGCGGGCCGGAGCAGAGGAGCGAGGAGGGCTGACCGGCCAGATCGGGTCGGGGAAGCCGGCCGGGAGGAAGGAGCCGGGCCGCCGAGGAGGGAGAGCCTGCGTGGCCTGCGCCAGCTCATCTGCAGGGAAATGGCCCGGGGCCCGGGGCCGGCACCACACCTCCCTGGGCAGAGGGAAGGCGGCCTCGGTGAGGAGGGCGGGGGAGGACGGGCTCCCGGGAGGGTGTGGGAGAAGGACTTGCTGAGTGGGTGAGGGGTCTGCTGGGGACCAGCACGAGGGCTGGGCTGCTGAGCAGAGAGCAGACACAGCCCGTCCTGGACGGCGTCTTCGTCTCCAGTCGAGCCCACGGTTGGAGTCATGCTTTAGAGGCACGTGTCCGCAGAGCCGACTGGAAGCCCGCTGCTGTGTGGGTGCAGAGGATCCCGGGACGATACAGAGCAGCTTCGGGTGAAGACGTGCTCCGTGGAGGTGGGGCGTGGCCTCAGGACGGGGGGAGGGTCACTGAGTCCGCTGAGATGGTGCGGGAGGGAGGGAGGGACAGAGCCCTGAGCTTCACGGGGACCCTCTGTCCAGCCAGGCGGCAGCAGCGCAGATGCTCCTGGTGTCTCCCCCGTAGCTGCTCCGTGTCCCCCTACAGGGGGTGGGGGGACAGTTCAGTGAGCTTCAGAGCCTGTTGGCGTGAGTGGGACACGGTGCACGTGTGACCCCTGCAGGAAGGGACAGCGTCCGAGGTCTGCCCGCGCCGCGCTGGGCCCTGCCTTGCGTGGAAGTGCGGACCAGTCTCTCGTTACTCGCAGAATTCCTTGTCAGACTACTTCCGGCAGCCCTTCGGCAGGGGGGTCCCCCTTGGGAGGGGGCCTGTCGTGGTCGGAGGTCCGATCCACAGCAGGATCATCCCCAGAGTGGCCCTCACCTTCGGGTCACCGCTGGCCCTGCGGCCATCCGGCAGCGCTCACGGAGAGCACGGCGGCCCGGGCACCTGCCTGCGCCTCCCTCTTGGCCTCCCCGAGAGCAATTCGTGCTGCTGCGGGTCCCTGGGGAGGCTCCCCTCGTCCCCGCACGTATGCAAACCTTAGAGTTCCTGTGTCCCATCGCTTTTGCCAGCTCCTCAAAGGCACTCCCCCCTGAAGTTACAATCTGCCATAACTCCTGAGGGGCCTCTGCTTGAGGCCGCGGCAGCCGTCAGGAGGGGAAGTGGGGCTCCGTGACCTTCACCAAGACTGCCCGCAGCTTGGCCACCCTTTGGAGGACAGCGTATCTCGGGCATGGGGTGGCCCTCCCACGTCTGGCTATTCGAGCTTGGACAAGGTGCTTACCTCTGTCAGCTTCCATTTCCTCATCTCAAGAAAATGTCTAAAAATGGGGTTCTACCAGTGTTTGCCTGGCAGGACGGCTGGGAGGAATAAAGGAGTGAGCAGTGCCTGGCAGCAGCCTTCTGTAGACGGACCATTAAAAAAGCCTGCGGGCATCTGTTGGAAAGGCTGCTTTACATTCATCTCTGCGAGCCTTTGGGACACAGTGCATTGTACCCAAGAGGCCCCAGAGTGACCCTCAGGACTGCGGGAGGGGATGCCCAGCCCCACAGGCCCGAGTGCGTCAGGATCGCCGTGTAGGAGCTTCCGTGGGAAGCGGTGCCAAGGGTGTCCTGCTGGAAATGGCAGCGATGACAGGGCTTTGGGGCGGCCTCTCAGGTCCTGGGGCGTCAGTGGCTGGCGTCCAGTCAGGAACTGGGCTGGGAGATGATGGGCCCCGTGTGGCAGTGTCCACAGAGGACCCGTGGGGGTCTGGGAGAAGGACCCGCACCGGAGTCGGGTGAGGCAGGGCGAAGAGACAGCAGCTCTTGTTTGCAGATCCTTCATCTGCTCTCTCCCCGACTCGTATGACCCATGAAGATGGGGACTTCGCTCTGTTCTTCTCTTGCGATGGTGATTAAGCCATCTCTTGACATATGAACTAGCCGTGAAAACATCTGCAAGGTCCTTTAAAATCACAGTCTGCTTCTACAAAGCCGCTTTAAGGCTGTCGTTGCACCTGCAGTGCTGGATTGGGGGTACGGGACACGCACGGGAGTCGCAGCCCACGTGGGACTGTCCGCGTTAAAGAGCGCCGTCCTCAGTGGCCTTCTCGCCATCCTTAATTTAGGCACTTTTCTTTCAAGTGAATTATTTAAGGAACAACTTACAGCGAGATGCTTTTGTGGGGTGAGGAAGCACATTACGCCACCTACCTCTCGTGGAGACTGTCTAGTGCTTGTGTTTAACGTGTCACGGGATGCGAGGAGGTGAACAGGGGCTCAGTCACACAGAAGGGTTCCGCCCTGAGAAAGCACGCTCACCTGCGGGTAGTGTGGGCGGCGAGGCCCCAGCGAGGCACACCTGCCCAGGTGACAGCAGCAGTGCCTCCACAGGGCTGCTCGGACCACTGCTTTTCTGTCCTCCACCCACATTTCTTTTGCTCCACCAGGACTGCAGCCACCTAACTCCATTTATCCAGGTTAGTTTCCCGGAAGCATCCGCCGGCCTGGGGTTTCTAAGAAAGCGTTCATCAGCACACACGTTCCAAGCACAGGATAAATAAGACTTACAGCTGCTGCTTCTCCCTGCCCTATGGGAAGACTCTAAGTACATTTCATACATCTAAAAACCTGAGCTTTTCAAGAAAAAGGGGTAATATAAACTGAAGGCGTATCATTTTTAATAGTATAGTTTGTGACTTTTCTTCCTGTAAGATCTCATGTTTTTGCTTGCTTCCCTTTTTTCCAGGTTGTTACAAGAAGGAACCAAGTATTAAGTTTTGCTTTCAAACAGGAGGACATGATGATGGTTGGCGACATCAGAGAGGGGTTCCTTGTGCCGCCTGGCAGGCAGTGTAGCAGTTCTCAGTGTGGCCCAGGCCAGTGACATGGCCTAGGCACCCCGGAGACCCTTTCAGGGTCCACTTTGGTAATTACCCCAAGACACTGCACTGTTCACTCTACCGTGAGTGCACAGCAGAGTCACGAGGCTGTGGGCGTGCGATCGCACAGGGATGGAGCACAGAGCCCACCACTCATCTCTGACTTGTTTGTTTTAGAAAATATTATTTTCATTAAATGTATTAGTAAACATTTTTTTTAAAGTCTCGGTTTAAATCTTTTTTTTTTTTTTTTAACCCTTAAGCCAACTATTTTTTTTTTATTATTAAGTTATTTTTGGCTGTGTTGGGTCTTCGTTGCTGCGCGCGGGCTTTCTCTAGCTGCGGCAAGCGGGGGCTACTCTTCGTTGTGGTGCGCGGGCTTCTCACTGCAGTGGCTTCTCTTGTTGCGGAGCACGGGCTCTAGGCATGCGGGCTTCAGTAGTTGTGGCTCATGGGCTCTAGAGCGCAGGCTCAGTAGTTGTGGCTCACGGACTTAGTTGCTCTGTGGCATGTGGGATCTCCCCGGACTGGGGCTCGAACCCGTGTCCCCTTCATTGGCAGGCGGGTTCTCAACCACTGTGCCACCAGGGAAGCCCCTCGGTTTAAATTCTTAACAAGGTTAACATCAGTAGATAGAGGCCACAGAACAGAAGCTCTTTGGGTCCTGAGAGTGTAAAGGGGTCTTGAGACCCACTGGCGCTGGGTGGTGAGCGTGCTTTGGGCTCTCACTCCCTGGACGGGTATCACCCCCGCCATGCTGTGGGGCTACTTGGGTAAACCTTGGTTTCTTCATCTGTGAAATGCAAGTGTTACTGGTTCTTCTCTCATAAGACTCTCAAGAGGTTTCAATGCAGTAAATCTAGATAAAGCGGATTATTATCTTAACGATGGGAAAAAAGAAAGACTAACGCAAATAATATCTGAACAATTTCCTAAATGTTTTCTACTCGCGAAGGCTTTCACAGTAACAGACCAGTGTCACAAGGAAAAATGGAGGTGTTTTCCAGTTATTGGCCAAATTCTCTCTGTCTCAGTAATAAAATAGGGTTTTTAAAACTAGAATGTGCTTTCCATGTTTTAAAATTCAGGTTTAGTTTTAGTTCCAGATGTTGGATCTAGAACATTTACTTCTCGCTCTATTAAGTAAAATGCTTTGAATCAAAATATAGAAATGGGAAGAGGGTGTAACTGGAAAAATAAGGTTGATTTATTTTTTTTTGAAAATTTTCTGAACATTGAAGTATATGCCTTAGTAGAACCAAGAACCTAAAAAGTTAATGAGGAAAATGAAACATTTCTTGAAATAATGGCTACTTTCCTGGTATTATGGTGCGATCACTGGCTGTAATGTAGTCGAACTGGTAACTCCGTGGTGATGACCAGTTGATCACAACATGTCTGTGTGATAAAGAGCACACGTCCATTTTGGATGTATCTGTGGGGTCCAGGTGTGAAGTGGGAGCATGTCTACAGCCCTTATTTGCAGAGCGGGGTCATCATACCACAGCCTCCATAATTTTCAGTTCAGTTTCAAACCTGTGGACCTCTATAATTTTACTTGGGCCTGGATATACTCTTCTTGGTATTTTATTTTAATGATTGAAATATTTTCTGCATTTATTTCACTCATCCTGGAAATACTTTAAAGGGTTGTTACAGTGAAAAGTCTTTCTCCATACACTGACTCTGCTACAATAGTAGGAGAAAAACTTACCATTAATTTCCAAACGGTGGAAAAGTATTGTCATTGTTTATTTGAAATTTGAAAATAGAATAAACATAATTTGAAAATTAAATATCATAAGTAAAAAATGTGGACAGTTCAAATACATATATTTGATTTTTCCTTTCAAATTAACAAGCTTATTTGAAATAGTAAATTTCATATCTTCGAGGTGAAATGTAATCATTGTGTTTTTTGGAGATCAACTCTTGTACTCTGGTGATCCCAGAAACATGTTTGTGAAACTGATAAGCTTATCACAGTATTCTAGTGCTAAGTTTTACTATTTAATATATAAACAGTTTATCCCCAATGTTGTGTTCTGGGCTTGTTATGCAAAATCCTGTGTAAATTACGAATTAAATTGTACTGTATTTCTTGACTAATCCCTTTTCCATCTGAACGTAAGTTTGGCAATCTTCTCCTGGTGTGACCTCTCCTGGTAACTGTCACCGGCTGGCAACTCAACCAAACAGAATGTGTAAATAGATTCTTTAACAGCCAGCTGCCCGTGACAGTGCCAAGACCCGTGCTGTCTTCCCAGGCTCCCTTCCAGGCCCTTGCTGGGGTTTCTAGTTTCTAATTTTCGAGGGGCTGGAGGTTTCAGGTAGAAGAGGTCGTGGGCAGGGACCAGTAATGCTGTCATCTGGGTGCTTTAGCCGGAGTCCCTTCAGAAATGCTAACTCCCCTGTGGCTCCTGGGACAGCAGACCACCCGCCACGAGGCACGGGAACTCTTTTTCCCCCATGGGTGGCGGGGACTGTGGGGCCTTCAGCGGGGAGGGGGCAGAGGAATGCCCTTCCGACTTGGGCGGGTGATGGGGGGCAGGCACTCAGCATTTACTCTCCTGCCTCAGAGGTCTGGCAGATTGTAGCCTCCCAAGTCCCCAAGCTTCTGGGCTGGGACAAGACATGGGGGGGACTGGGAGAATCCCAGTGACCAGTCTGGTCAGATGTGCTGGGCAAACTGAGGACTCTCACTTTCTCTTGAGGGAAAGTGCTCCGTGTCTGCTGGTGTGGGTGGTGGAGGCTGCTTACCCCCATCACCGCTGCCCAAAGACTGTCCTTCTGTTCGTTAGTGTGATGGCTCAGACGCGGCTCTGGAACCCCATTGCGGCACTGAGGCCCATCTCCATCCCATTGGAGCCGTGTGTTGTTGGGAGGTGTTTCCGCACCTAAGCCCCCATTTTCTAGTAGATTGGAGACAGTCAGAGGGGTCAGGAGAGTGCCTGCCACGTAGCACGTCAATCACATCCCTTAGCTGTTATAATTATGAGATGCCAATCCACACTCACCTCCGACCCTCACCCTTCAACTGTCATTACTTCTGAAGCAGCCTAAGAATTAGGAAATCGGAAGGAGAGAAACCCAGTCGCTGATACAGTTACAGCTTTTGAACTGCCGGGGTCCCTACTCAAATCACTGGGCGTCCAGCTCCCGCTGGGCTGTGCCCGCAGAAGCGGTACCATAGCCCCCTCCTCGGCCCCCCCCGCCCCCCCCCCCCCCCGTCTTCACTGGCTTCACCTCATCTTCTGCCCTCCACGCTCCCGGCAGGAGTGTCCACCTGCTGCCACGGCTAACATACCTAGTCCACACCCACCCAGAAATACCTGGAATAAAATGCATGTGTGATTTCGGGACCTACGACACAGATTTATGACCTAAACGGTCTCAAACGTATTCACCCAGGGCTATGGGAGGAGACAGGTTGCCTCGAGGCCCTGGTGGGGAAGGCGAGAATGTCCATGTCTGGAAGCTGTGTTTGCATATTTAATGGAGAAGAGGTAAACGGGGCGGGGGGGGGCGCGGGGGGGGTTGAGGGTGCTGGTGGAGATGATGGGGCCTAAACCTACCCCCACCCCCAGCCGTCATGAGAAATGTTTCTGGTCACCTATCAAGTTTCCTTCTTGCTGTGCCTGACCCGGTGGGGACACGACAGAGTAGGCAGGGGAGAAAGTGACCAGTGCCCTCGTGGCCACCGACCACTGGGAGGTGCCGGTGTCACTACAGGAGCGTTCAGAGAGCTGGGCGGGGCCGCTGGGGCCGTTGGTCACGTATGAGTTTATCCACATTTGAATGCTCTTAGCTAAGCTGGGGCCATACCCCACACAACCTACTTGGGTTAGCCCAGAAGAGCATATCCTATGGAAAATGTGTTTTTGCAGATCTAAACAACCGACAGTTCTCCATAAGTAATGCAGGGACTGCTTGTATGAAACTTTGACTTTATGACGTATTGCCCTGTAATTATTCACTGAATTATTCATGTATTCAACAAACGTTTGAATATCGTAGGAGTGTTTTCGTGTCTCGACCACTAGAGTCTAAGTTGACGGTGAAGCTGTCTCATTCATTCTGAACCACTGTTGCAGCAATAAATACTCTCCTTTGCTCACAGGAATCACTCCTGAAAAGAACTTAATGTCTGGTACTTCCTATATCATGATTTAACTGAAACTGGCTTATTTTGCCTATTCAAGGAAAACTAGGTTTGTAATTTTAAAATGACAGTCTTTCAGCAGTGGCATCAACATTATATAAAAACAAAAGCAGGAAGATTCCCTGAAATGTCTTTCCCCCACCTCTGAGCTCCTCTGATACCGGACTGCGAGGCCGGCCCGGCCAGAGGTACCACCCGCCGCCGCCGCCGCCTCCTGGCCCACCATCTTAAAGGCACCGAGAGGCTGCTCAGGATTTTCTCTCCAACGTGCAAGGACTCCGCCTAGGGCTTAGGACACGCCTGGCTCTCCCCGCCTCTGGTGGATTAAAACTAGCCCCTGGCAGTGGAAGGCCAGCTGGGGAGCCTCGCCCGGTCCAGTGGCTCGTGACACCAGCCGGGCGCAGCGGCTCCTCGCCCTGCCGCGTCCTCGGCCACCGCGCTCGGCTCCTTCTCCCGCCGGCGCGTCTGGCTCGGCGTGGCCCGGGCGGACAGTGCTGTGCCCGCCGAGCCAGGCGAGGAGACCCGAGTCGGGGCAGAGCCCCCGGCCCCGGAAGGGAGGGAGGAAGGAAGGAGGGAGGGGTGCCTTGGCGTGAAGCCCTGGGTGTGGGCGCCGGGACGTGAGGAAGCCGGAGATGCTGCGGCCGGACCGAGGTGGGTGCGGACCGAGGACGAGGGCCCGACCCCGGCCACCCACGGGAAGGGCGCCGGGCCCCGCGCACCGACACTAAAGCCGCTCCTCTCCTTCCAGGGCGCTGACGACCCGCCGGCCTGGCAGCACCATGCCGTTCCCGCCCCTGCCGCCGCCGCCGCCCACCCCCGCCCCGGGGGTCCCGGCCGCGCGCCCGCCGCCCCGGAAGCCGGGCGCCCCCCGCAAGGCGGCCGTGCCGGAGAAGAGGCGGCCCCCCGAGCGACCCCCGGTGCTGCTGTCCAGCTCCTGGCCCTCCGCCACCCTGAAGAGGCCGCCGGCCCGCCGCGCCCCCGGCCCGGCCTCCCCACGCGCCCCGCCCCCGTCCGCGCCCGGCCGCCCGCGCGCCCCGGCCCCGTGCGCGCCCCGGCCGGCCGGCTCCAGCGACGGCCCCGCGGCGGTCGCCACCTCCGGGGCCGGGCCCGACGCCGCCCTGCGCTTCTCCCTGAGCCTCACGCCCGAGGCCGTGCTGGTCATCCAGCGGCGCCACCTGGAGAAGCAGCTGCTGGCGCGGCCCCGTCGGGCGGCGCCCGCGCCCTCGGCCGACGCGGGGCGCCCGCTCGCCCCCTGGCCCCGGGGCCGGGCCGCAGGCCTCGGCCGCCGCCCGCCCCTGCCCGGCACCCCGCTGCTGCCCGGCGGCCTGCAGGGCCCCGACCCCGGCCCGCGGCCCGCTGACCTGCGCCCGCTGCTCAAGGTGTCGCTGCTCAACGAGCGGCACAAGTACGACGACGTGGAGTACGAGGAGGAGGTCGCGGCCGCCGACGAGGGCCTGGTGCGCAAGTGCACCGAGTGGCTGCGCGGCGTGGAGTCGGCGGCCGCCGCGCGCGACCGGGC